AAAAAAAAAAAATGCAGCCAAAAGTAAGTTCAAAACAAAAATCCCCTCCCCTCCACTGTGAAATTCATCCACTTGCCCGAGGTGGGCCACCTCTTTGTCTGAGCTCTCAGCAGCCAAACCAATAGGGAAGTGGAATCATTTAAAACCCCTCACAGAGCCTGTGATAAATGCAGACTAGTGGCTCAGGAGGACAGCTTTTTATGATATAAAGCCAGAAAATGTACATAATAAGTAGTAGAGGAAGAACAAGGTCACCAGTGGTTTGGTGTCCTAGCCTCTGCCTCTTTGTCCCCTCCTGCTCTAAAATGAAGATGAGAATGATATGTTTTAACTTGTAAGAAAGTTTTCATTTGACACAAAAAGGAAAAGAGGACAATGTGAGTTAAATGCCATTTTAGCATAAATACTTGAAGGAAGTGATTATTTTCCTACTGGAATGCATGTATGTATATAATTATTTGTGGTGACCAGAGGTGAACAGACATCCCATATTTTCTGGGGTTCGTTAATCATCGTCCAGCAGGAGACAGGGTTGTATCCAGTTCCAGGAAAGGTCAAGCACAGAAGTAGAGACACTTCAGAAAGGACAAGCCCTTTAAGCCACCATGTTACTAAATAATGGTTCTGCCGTTAAGTAGCTTGGGGCCCATCCCTTAGTTTTAGATCACAGTCTCCTAGTCGCCGAGCCATGCAGGCTGATGTATGTGCTTTTACAGGTCCTTTTTAGCTATAACATCCTATCATTCTAGACCACTTCTTTTTATTCCTTAATTCTACATAGGCCTGGTCGGAGACACTGTAGAATCAGCCTTTTCCCAAATTTCTTTCAGGAAATTTTGTTTTGGTCCCAAAGTGGTGGCCCTGAAGGAGTATAACTCAGTGTTTTATTCATTATGTCATGTATTGTCTACTGATCTAAGTATGGGGCCTGTAATGGTAAAGAAGACAGAATCACTGTACATAGAGTTTATATCGTAGTTTGTGGGGAGAATGACAAACAAGAAACCAAAAAAGAAAGATAATTTCACATATTGTTACTTGCTACAAAGAAAAGAGGGTAGGGGACCAGCCAGTAGTGTTGGTCATGGGATGCTTTAGGTTGAAGAGGTTGCATTTCGGTTGAGACCTGAATGATAAAAAGATCTGGGAGAACCATGTTCCCGGTGGAGGAAACAGCTGTGCAGAGGCTGTGATTTGGGTGCACAAGCTTGATGTGTGGGAGAAACAGGAAGACCAGTGTAGCTGGAGCAGAGTGAACGTGGTTGATGATGCAGAGGTGGGCCTGTGCTTAATCCTGCAGGGCCTTGTGGGCCACAGTTTTGATTATGGTCTAAATGCAATGGGAAGCCATTGGAAAGTTTTGAGTAAAGAGAGGATTTGAACTGATACATACTTAAAGAAGTTCGTTTTGGTTACTGGTTGAAAAATGGACATCAGGGGAATAAGATGGGAAGCAGGAGACCAGTTAGTTGAAAGGTGTGGGGTATGATGGGCCTAGGGCTAAACAGAAAAATCATTTCTTCAATCACTTGGTCTAAATGGTCCCTTTTTGTAAATGGTATAGTGGTGATCCAGCATTATTCTTTTCTACAGTATGAATTTTCTATCATGTCAATTTTGGCTTTTTAAATTGAAAAATTGGTTAAATGTAACATATTTAAAAGTATGTATTTGGCATCTTTCAAAACTCTTCAGATGCTGCATTTGGCAAGAGAAGAGGAAGGTTTCTTTCCCCTCTGTTGACTGAACTGAACTAACACAAGGGCTGAAGTGTGCAGCACATCCGTGAAATCCTAGACAGCTGCACCAAATCCCACTCCTTCGCTAAGAGCAGAGTTGAGTGACAGGGGACTTTAATTAGAGTGGGTTTTAGAAGGACCGAGAAAATGAAAAAAAGTGCATCTGGCTGGGTTGGCTTAACTTGTGTTCTGACATGCCTCTAATTAAATCATCACTGTTTCTCTTCTCAGGGATCAATGAGCAAGGGCTCTACCGAATTGTGGGGGTCAATTCCAGAGTGCAGAAGCTGCTCAGCGTCCTGATGGGTGAGTGCAGCAGTGGCTGGGCCAGGCAGGCCCCAGTGGGATCAAGGGGGCACCTCTGAAAAGTTACTGGTTCCATGAATATGAACAGCCTCTTGGGAAGGAATTGGGTGTCCAAGAGGGAACACCCAGAAATCAGCTGCCCCACTCACCAGTTGTTACGGCTGTAGGCATTACTGGAAGAGATACTTAGTGGACTGGACAAAACAAACAAAAAAAATGGCAGGGCCAAAGCACCACACCCTCTGTTTGTAGACTCAGCCACTGTCAGTCCAAGTGGCGCTCAGTCATTCATGTGACCACCACACCCTACTCTGTCATTTATAGCTTATGACTCCACTGTCCTCTTCGGAGACAGGCATTTAGTGGGGCACACCCGATTCCCAAGGAAGGGCATCCTTCTAGCCTGCAGAGCACCTCAGATCTCATGTTCCCTGTTACCAAAAAGGTGTCACGTGACTGCCAGATAACATGTATATAAGCAGATAATTCTTGTGATCCTCTTCGCATCTAGATTTCTACCTAGACTCTGGCGTTTGAGGAGCAGAACCTCCCTTACAGCTAGCTGACATAAATATAAAACCACTGTCTCCAAATGGGTAGTGTTTGAATCAAAACCCCATGCGTCAATGAGCCAATTTGCTTAGGCTGCAGGTTTCCTATATTTTTAGATGTGAATGCAGCCAGCTTCAGTGAGTCACATGGATTTAAATGGCAAACAGATCAGATTTCACATATCAGTGGCTGTTACTCATCCCCATGGAAGCCCAGCCGTCACTTGTAGAGATGGACTATCACTTAGGGTCCCTGCTCATTGTCTGGGCAGCAATACTTCTCTTGTTAATTTTTTTTTTTTTTTTATTGCCATCCAGTTTCTGAACATAGTTTTCGTATGTAAAGAAATCTCCTCTCTCATATTGTCCAGAATGACTCTTACCTGTCTCTTTTTCTAGAGAGCTCCTTGCTTCTTGTTGGCAAAACCCTATTCTGTTGCCAGTTACAGTAAGATATTTTGTTTGAGAGTATGATTATTTGTGAGGTACTCTTGCACTGAGAATCTGGTTCTTGGTTCAGATTTGCAGTGTGGTTAGTTTTTGTTTTGTTTCTGTTTTTATGTTCAGTTAGCCACTGTAGAGTACATCATTAGTTTTTGATGTAGTTTTGATGTAGTTTTGATGTAGTGGGAGAGAAATCAGAGAGGGAGACAAACCATGAGAGATTATGGACCCCAGGAAGCAAACTGAGGGTTTCTGAGGGGAGGTGGCTGGAGGAGGGGTAACTGGGTGATGGGTATTAAGGAGGGCATGTGTTGTGATGAGCACTGGGTGTTATACGTAATTAATGAATCACTGATTTCTCTCCCTTCAGATTTCCCTCCCTTCCCCTATGGTCCTCTGTGCTATTGCTTATGTTCCACATATGAGTGAAACCATATGATAATTGTCTTTCTCTGCTTGATTTACATTTATATGCAGTTCTAAGAAATAAAACAGAGTTTTATGTACCTTTACCCACTGTCCTCAATAGTAACATCTTGCTACACTGTAGTAAGATGTCACCACCAAGATATTAATATAGTCAAGATTCAGGACAGTGTCATCACCACAAGGATGCCTTGTGACGCCCTCTTATGGCTCCATCCATCTGCTTAACCTCTCACCTCCTTCCCTTACCCTGCCGACTCCTGATCTCTTGTGAATTTCTTTAATTTTGTCATTTCAAGATTATCTCAGTGGAATCATATAATATGTAATATTTTTGGATTGGCTTTTTTTTTCATTCAGCATAATTCCCTTGAGATATTTTCGAGTTGTTTTATCAATACTTTGTTCTTTTTTATTGCTGAGTAGTATTCCATTGTATTGATGTACACAGTTTGTTTAACCATTCACCTGTTGAGGGACATCTGGGTTTTTTCCAATATGGGTAAATTAGGAATAAAGCTGCTGTAAATAGTTCTGTACAGGTTTTAAATGTGAGCATAAATTTGTTTCTCCGGGATAACTGCTCATAAGTTTGATTATTGGATTGTACAGTGACATGGTGAATTTTTGAGAAATTGTAATGTAAAGAAGAATTAAGATTCTAACAGGTATCAACCCTCAGTCTTTCTTTTTTTTTTTTTTTTTTTAGAGATTTTATTTATTTGACAGAGAGACACAGCGAGAGAGGGAACACAAGCAGGGGGAGTGGGAGAGGGAGAAGCAGGCTTCCCGCCGAGCAGGGAGCCCGATGCGGGGCTCAATCCCAGGACCCTGGGATCATGACCTGAGCTGGAGGCAGACGCTCAACGACTGAGCCACCCAGGCGCCCCCAACCCTCAGTCTTTCATTTCTGATCAGAGTTGCAAACGTGTGGAGTGTGTGCTTGCTATAGCAGATTGTCAGGTGCTAGAGCTGAAACTTCAGAAAGATTCAGTCCTTGTCTGCAGAGTCTGGTAGGGGGAAATACACATGCATGAGAATCGTGATGTAAAATATGATACTGTCACCTATACAAGCCGTATCTGGAAGATTGAGTATTGAAGGAAAGAATAGGAGAATAGTTCAGATTAAGTAAATGAGCAGTAAGTAGCATGAGGGGCAGAAGTTAGGGTCAGTGGTGGCTATAGTAGAGGGTACTAACTTATTATTAATATTATTTTAATATTTCAAAGTGCTTGAGGCTGGATCAGGAGAGTTAAAACTGAAATGCTAAGATGGTCCCTTTTGTCAAAGAACTTGAATATTGTGCTAAGAAGTTTGTGAGAGTTTTACTTCCTACAGGAAAAAAAAAAGACTCTATTAAAGGTGTCTAAGTAGTGGGGCACCTGGGTGGCACAGTTGGTTAAGTTTCTAACTCTCGATTTCGGCTCAGACCATGATCTCAGGGCTGTGAGATTGAGCCCTATGTCATGGCCCAGCATGCAACCTACTTAAGATTCTCTCTGTCCCTCTCCCTCTGCCCCTCGCCACCCCCAAAAAAGTTTCTAAGTAGTGATGCTGTATGTGTGAGGGCTCTTTTGCACACACAGTGTCAAGAAGACCATTCAGAACAATTTAAAGGAAAAATAAAAGGCATTAATTTGCTCACACAACTGCTCAGTCCAAGATGGCAGAAGCATAGCAGGATCTGGTGGCTCCAATGATCTCTTTACCTTTGCTGGAACCTTTCCCACTTCTTTCTTCTGGCTTCTCATTATCTGTGATCTCTGCTTGTCTTGATATCAGCTGTTTTCTTTGTGGGAATGTCCCACGTTGTTCAGCCTCAGCAGTTTGTGAATCTTACATCACTGAGTAGAGAGTATCTTTCTTTTTTCTTTTTTTTTTTTAAGATTTTATTTATTTGACAGAGAGAGAGCAGGAGAGCACAAGCAGTGGGAGCGGCAGAGGGGGAGGGAGAGCAGGCCCCCCACCAAGCTGGGAGCTCGATGCGGGGCTCGATCTCAGGACTCTGGGATCATGACCTGAGCCAAAGGCAGACGCTTAACGACTGAGCCACCCAGGCGACCCGAGAGTATCTTTCTTGACAGTTCATGGAGGACTTTGATTGGTCAGCATGGGGCCATTCACATGAGTCATTTCTCAGTCTCAGGGCAGTCACATGACCTACAGCAGATGGATCTAGATGGCCTTGATTCTGTGCTTATCTCTGGTGATATTGGGAGGTGTGGCAAAGTGGAATGGGTGGGGGCTAGACTGAGCAGGATTATTTTTAAAAGAATGTTGAGGAGTGCTTTCCTGAAATAATGGCTGCTGGGTAGATTTAAAAAAAAAAAAGTATGTCCAACACAGGTTTAACAAAATCAGACTGTAGTCTTAGGAGGGTAGCACTGGCAGCAATGGGGAGCCTGTATTTGATATGGAGAGACACACAGGAAGAAGATAGTTGCAATAATTAAGCAGCGCATAGCTGAACGAGGGCTGGACCAAGTAGATGCTCTGATATTAGGGAAAAAAGGCTCAAATGAACAACAGGACTTTGTAACCTACTGGATATGGGACAGAGATTTCAAAGATGACAGATTATTATGTAAGGTGATACTAGTGAAAAGAAATAGGACATTTTGGATGGGTTTGCCAGAAAAAAGAACCACTTTAGCTTAGTTGTGCTAAGCAAAGAGTGGTGTGAAAGGATCTTGTTTTTATCACTTCTCTTAGTGGCTCTCAAACAAAATATTTGTCCTGTTCTCTTCCTCACTTTTCCTGGGGGCAGACAAAATAATCATGAATACCTGAGAAATGTCATGAAAAACTAATAACCAGCAGCTGAAAGTCACAAGGCCATCTGCCTCTACCAGGAGAACATTACAGATAGACTAGAATCCAAACTGAGGCTCAACCAGAGCTGAAAGATGACCACAGGGCAAGATCTCATCAGAGGTGGAGAATGGTATCATGATTTTCATGACCAGTTAAGATAACCTGTTTGGATCTTGGAAGTGAGGAATCACCTCTTAGACCAGGAAGCCTCCAAACCTGAAGGCAGGTCTCTTCCCTTGCATTAACATGCTGCCCTTTTCATCAATTCCTGGTATTGGTGCTAAGCTGGGTTAGCCAAGAGTGTAGAATAAATAAGGCTCCTACACTGCAGAACCTCTCCCTGAGATGGCTGGGCTGAGTGTGAACCCTTCATTTACTATTGCTTTATTCTGTATCGATTGGATGCCCTTTTAGGTGCTAGGCAATGGGTAGGATATGGACTATTTTTCAGAGGCTCTCAGAAGTGGAGTAGTGAATTTTTAATATTGAAAGTATGGATTAGAATTAAGTAAAACCAGAGACTTCCTTTGATCACTTTGAGTTTATTTTGTATACTCTTAGTACATTAGAGGACTTGAGATTAGAAGAGGAATCTTAAGAGCCAGTGCTTTGAAGGATGCCTGGGTGGTTCAGTTTGTTAAATGTCTGCCTTCGGCTCTGGTTATGATCCCAGGGTCCTGGGATCAAGCCCCATGTCCGTCTCCCTAACTCAGCGGGGAGCCTTCTCCCTCTCCCTCTAACTGCCGCTCTGCTTGGGTGCAT